TTGTTTTACGTTTATCAATTTAAATCCGATAGTAATAAACACACTGGCTTTTGAGAAAAAATATATACAATATTATTTTAAAAAATGAAAATATGTATATATCATATATTTGGGCTTAAGTTCGTTTGTTAAAATCACTTGAAACACAGACATTCATTCACGTGAACAATACCATAGACATCCCCCCACATAAAAAGAAATAAATGGCCGTTGAAATAGAAATAATTACTGCCTATTGAACTGAATACATTAAAACAATACATTTTAAATTTACTTAGTAATTTGTTGGCATAATGAGTCACTTATACTTAGCATGTCTGTCTGTTTAACCCTAAGTAATTTAACCTCTTCTCTTTCGTTTAAACTCTCGAACTTTTTATCATATTTATGTATAAATAAACTCTAGTTGTTTGATTACTTCAATATTGAATATCTTGCATTTACGCCTTCTGTTTTTTGTTAAGTTGTATACTGTATTGAGTAATATTGAAGTTGGACGTTAAGTGAAAGAATAAGGAAGGGAAGTCAATCGATAAGGTTGTGAAGCTACATCGATTGAGATGACTAGGACATATTGCCCATGTCGAATTAAATACTTCCTCAGCAGAACGTTAGCTGGCATTGAATAAAACTGGAAAAGAGTTAGCTGTGATCAAATCAAAATATGGTATCAATCCTTGATGACTTTGATAGTTGGTTTGAGCCGCGTAGGGAAGTGCAGACTTCCTGCTTGTGGTACGCGCGATGCTAAGAACAAAAGGCTGGAGACTGTTGCTGATATAGCCCAAAACAGTTTTCAAGGACGGAAATGCACTGACTATTTGTTATACCCAGAATTCGTTAAATCCTCATTTAGTCTATGTCATTGTCCTCTCTCCCACATATATTTGTGATCATTATGGTCCTCTTGGATCTTTTTATCTCTTTCTTTTGTCTGACTGCTGCACTTCTGTGCAAAGTTTTATGCTGAAAGACAGTTAGTACTATTCTGTTACTTCTTTTCTGGCTGAAACAAATCTGAAGTACGTTACACACTCGCATGCGTCCTACAGGAGGTCAACCACGAGCTCGAATAGCTCAGTGGTAATGTCTCTGACTGCAACACTAAGTGACGAAGGTTTGAATTTCAGAAGGGACATGAGTTGCCTAAATGTGATTGCAGATACAGCTTGCTACCTGATGAGTGCCGACTGGCATGAGGCTTTCTGCAGATCGCCTTCAACCATGGAATATCAAAAATTCAAGGTGTACTGTGATGGTGAGCCACCTAGCATGGTGGTCATGATGGAATTCAGTCTGCACTAAACAAACGGCTAGGCACACTTGCAGTTTTATTCAGTTGACAGTTAGTCATATACACCTATTGTGTGAGGGTTAGTGATACTGATACCTGATTGCTCAAACCTCACAGTGGATAGGACGGCGTTCGAACCCATGACCCATTCTACTGCTTGGAAGAGTCAATTGCCTAGACCAATGAGCCACAGTTCCACCTCTTTGAATAATGCCAGCACTAAAAACTACACTGATAACGAAAATGATGATAATTCAGTAAACTATTATAATCATTCTCTGCGAAATATACAATATGCATTAAAAACTGAAGTGTTCATTCCCATTATAATATCAGTAGTAGTAGTAGTAGTACTAGTAGTAGTTTAGGTAAAATCACTTGGATAAATATAATTAAAATCCCCTTCTGTCTAGCCTACAACAACATTAGATTTAAAAATTAAACTTTTATAAAAAGCAATACTTTAAATGACAGAAAAGTAACAATAGCTTTATCTTTTCAAACCAATATTCATACAAGAACAACAACAGCAACACAATAGATGAAATGTCAGAAGGAGAAAAAGGTGCAGCACAGAATCTCTCTGTATGTGTATTTATATGAATTAAAAGGAATAAAAGTAAGTTTTAATATTATCACTATTATCACTGCTGTTACTACTGCTACTACTACTACTACTACTACCAATGCTAATACTACTTACTATTTTACGAATACGGAGTCATATATAACTTGGAAATCTCATCAAATAACCAGGAAAAAAAGGAATTTGATATCTTAAAATTATAAAAGAGAATTAAGTGATGAATAAAACGAAAACTTGTGAAGAAATGTTTAATAGTAATAATACATGAGACACACACACAAGCGTGTGTATATATTATATCAGGCAGAGGGTAAAATAAAAGAAACACAACAACAGAAAATAGAAGTACAACAAAACAGCTGTTAATTAGATCAAAACTAATCGGATATATAACATAGGACAAATAAAATCACTTCGATTACAATTAATACACACACACACACAAACTGAGAAATAAGCAAGTGTTCTTGCACTAACAACTCCTACGTATATGTACACACACACAATAAAGACGATAGTGTCCTTAATGACAATGTAAATTCCTTAATATATATGGATAAAAAATTGTTAGTTTTGATAAAGTGGATTTTCTAAATTTCAATACAACCAATCTGCGTCTCCACCCCACCCCCCGTTGTTACCAATGTCAAACATAAGCAACATACCCATAAACTGATAAGGAATCAGAGTAAGCTTTCAAAAAATGAAAGTAGATCCCACTTTTTTATCCTTCATAAGAACTTCATTAGATATATTCATGATGACTTAAAATTCCTCTGAAAATTATTCATCACATTCTGTAATAGTTGGACATGAGAACCTGAGAACCAAGCACCACATGGATTATTTAAAGCAGTCAGCTGAAATAGACTGCAGAGACTAGTAGTTTGAATTCAGTTAACCGGAATAGATTTTCCATGTATCAGGCTAAGAGCCAAACTTGCCTTGTAAGGGCCGATGATACTATCCAAGTGTCCAAGGATGAAGTAGGTGGAGTTGGACTCGAACCTGTGATCCACTGGGTATAAAACCGAGTGCTTAAACCAACAATGAGCCACACTGCCAAAAAGCATCATCTATTAGGCCATTTAGGTCATGTAAAGAACAGAGTGAAATAGTAATGTGCTTCCGAATCCCTATACTCCACCAGGAACCCATAAGACAAACAATAATAACAATAAATTGATATAGAACTAATAGTTGCATAAAAATGTCGAACACAGTTGTGGTAAAATGTGAACTAACATCATCAACATCAGTAGAAAAAATTTAATAACACAAAGGAGGTAAGAAAACAGAGTATTTGCTGCTTTAGAAAATGTAACCATTTATAATTAGCTCTGTATGATAATTAGCTGATAAGCCACAATATAGGACTTCTTAGGACAGAGTATCAATTCAAGTTGATACAGTTTAAAAAGATGCACAGAATAAAAGAATATAATTGTAGTCAAAAGACAGTGGACCAAGACGTCTAAGAAAGAGAGAGGATACATAAGTGGAGATTAATGAACAGTCCTTCAGAATCTGGAAGATAACGGTAAGTGAATACATATGAGTTACTGCGATTATCATTTGTTCTTAAATAACCAAACACGTACACCTCTCTATGTAGCAAAGACTGTCTTTATAGAATGGTGTCGTGCTTTGGTATGACCACCCTTAAATCAACTAAGATGCGAATATAAAGTCATAAACAAGTTCAACAACGATTCTTCATACAATAGTTCTCATCTGCATGAATGCACGAAGTGGTTTACGCGTCAACAACAATTCGTGCACTTAGTAGAGAAGGCAAAGCTTAAAGCATAAAGTTTATCATACACGTGTAACTGAGTACACAGGTCGAATTACTAGATCAAAAGGTATCAGTAATTCTTTATTTGATGGTTCAACTGTGTACATGGATAACAACGCAGAACCAAAACGTCTAAACAAAAGGTACAGTGAAGAGCTTCGAATAATATTTCACCGATTCAAGTAATTTCAATTCACAACAAAAGAACAGAGAGTAAAGACGTATGAAATATTTAAATAAAAAAGAAAGACAGTCCAGAAGGGCGAAACAATTCGTCAAAGTGGTTAACAGTGTCGAAAATTGTGGAGATAATAGAGAATATACCACACACTTGTGACGCAGAAACCATCCTGAGCCAGATTTCCAATGTCTTCATAACCCCTAATACTTAGCTAAAACTAAGGGTCAGTGACTTAGCAGACTGCTGTGACGCGTCTTGGCCAGACTACTGTCAAACCTGTGCGGCAGATAAGCTTAAATCCCCAGCTGTTGGTTTATGTGGCTTTCTAAATACAATGGTCAACATATTAAATCACTTCATACTGCTCCCCATCCCCACTGTTAGTAAATGAATGACAAGTTCCCTGAAAAACAGCAGTTTATCATCATAACAAATGACAGTAGTCCTTAATTCCCTTAGCTCTTCAACAACCACCTCCATGTTTGAAAATAAGTTGTATACATTTGGTACCGAGCTATCTATCATACACCCGAAGGTATTGGAAACTATAAGTTTATCTATTTCTTTGCACAGGAACTCCCTGTAACAGAGACTATTTGGACAGAATTATTTCAGATTTCCACACTGTAGCATCCATCCTATTTCTGTACACCCTGCTAGGAAAACCAAACAATTTAGTTCAGAAAATACAAATCGATGCTTCTGAAACTGGAGCCACAATCTAACCCTTGATGTACAAACGCTTTATAGTATCAGCTTAGCTAATTCAGTGCAAGTCAATTAATACTACTACAGCTAAAAAGCAGTCTTAAATCGTGGACCTTACAATGACAATTCATATCAGTCATAAGAAATTAAGTGCCAATATGGCTGTAACTGGAAATTGAGTAGCGACCTAAACGGGTAAGTTAATAACTAAACACCTGAAAATACAATACTAAAAAACCCATAAAATGCAATCCACTTAACAAAGGTGAACGAAAGTATGAAGTGGTATAAAATAAATGTTAACATTATGCAAACAAGTTTTTACCACAAAACTCTAAGAATAAAATTAACAGAACTTTTTGCGAGTGAAAACTACGGGAATTGTACTCAACATACATTTAAAAAATATATATATATAAACCATGTTGCTTACTTGCGGAGTAATAGTCTTTGAGGAAGATGAGGTGCATGGTGGAATCATCTGTACAGGATCTTCATTACGACCTAAGTTAAAAACGGTAACAAACTTGAAATATGATACAATACCTCAAGGTAAATGTTAACAATCAAATGACAGATAGTAAAATAGTATGACCACAACCCTGGTAAAGCAACTAAGAACCAAAAGGTAGCATAAACCGGTTGCTTAGTGATAAACTACTGTGAGGAAAAAACGACATTATTACAGGAAACTAATTCACATGTCAATAACACTAAAAAAAACTTGGAAAGAACAAGGAAAAATAATAGAGGAAGATACTTTATTTCTTCGATTCTCTTTAACTGCATAAAAATTATCATACTTATTAAACGTAGTCTTCAATTGTGTACATGGACGGATGTGTATCTGTGGTAGCATTGAAATCGAAAGAAGGGAAACAAGAAAACGCTTTAGATTTCGTGAACATATGCTGTATAGTTTTTGTTTATGACGACTCCATAATGAGGATAACTAAGTGTCTGGGCACTTGGTAGACCCATTAGTCTAAATAATTTTTCAAATGTTAATTTGCAGGGATTCGATTAGCCACAGCTTTGATCACTCATTAACATCAGGTAGAGAAGCACTAAAAATCAGGGGATACTGGACAGTCGTTTTGTCCCAGTGTGGGACTCTTCAATAGAACGCATACATCACCCTCACCAGGGATCGAACCCAGGACCTTCAAGTTACAAGGTGAGTAGGTTGTATACCATTCAGTCAATTGGGCAGAACGCAATAGTCCCTCAAATTCCATCCTAGTGGCTGAACGGTTTACCACCTTGCCTCGTAACTCGAGGGTTCAGGGCACAATCTCTGGTGGGGTCATTTGTGCGTACTGATGAGCAGCTCGAAACGAGGATGAAACAACTGTCAGTACTCCCTGGTTTTCAGTGGTTCTCCATCTGAAACCACCTTATGGTATAGACTGAAAATTGTAATCAATTTTCAGTTTTTTTATTTTTTAACTCCTATTTTACAATTCTTTATGTTGAATACAGACGAGATTGACAACCACAACAAGAATACCATTCATTACATCATGTGAAATAGCCATTAGCCTTAGGCAAAGATCATGTTTAGAGCAAGAATCAACCATACGTCAATAAATTCAACATATAGTTGTAGAAATGATAAATGGTATTTTATTTTACTTAAGAGAGTAGGAAAAATCACTAACTGAAGGAATTTAGAAAACTGAGTGTTGGACAAGTTGATAAATGAAAAAAGAATAGTTTCAATTTATTCACTTAAGGTCACAACCGAACTCTTTTCAATAAACCTAAGAGTTTTGAACTCAATCTATCAAGGATTCAGAACAAAACATATGAGCGAACAATATTGTTTTCATTTAGATCTTCAGGCTTTACTCTAATTTACATAGATTTTATATATAAAAATCTTAAGCAATAACGGTGAGTTTGTGGATCAAATAATAATATAACAATGTGTTAAATGTTTTGAACGACAGTAGTAACAATGATCATAATGATAATAAGGTTTATATAGGTGCCAATAACAATAACGAAGGTTGTAATCTGTGTATATGTAGACAATTCAATAAATAAATTAGGTAAAATCTTAAAAGTTACGTAATACTAAAGGTGAAGTGGACAGATAATCAGAGTTTAAATATCATAAAAGTAAGAAGGAAATGGAAAATAAGAAAGGGTGGGAGGGTTTTGATTTGAATTCACCTAGGCCAAGGGAGAGACAAAGGTAGAACAAACTTCTTTTGTATGCAAAGACTAGGATTGTTCTCTCGAATTCTCATAGCTTCGGCTGCGTGTAAAAGGCAGGTTCGAATTCCGTTCGAAAGGCTCGATGGAATGTGATAGATAACTTTGAAGGCACTTCTTCTGTCCACTTGGTGACCGCTATCAATCAAGTGAGTCAAAATAGAACTTATAGTTTTTATTTGGCCTTTACCGAACCATGAAGGAAGATGCTCATTAATACGTTTGTTGAGCTGTCTAGTTGTTCGCCCTATATAGCTTTCTTCACAGGAGCAAAGGATGGTGGCAGTTTGATTCCCTTTTATTGCTCTTGATAACCATAGATGTAGGACTTCACTAGACACGTCCCAACTTTATCAGCATAATATACTTTTTTGAACTAACAAACGCGTACACCACAAAGAAATGATAAGGGAAATAAAGTACCAGCGTATTACAAGGAATAAAACGTTTCATTTACGAATCAGTGTGGGACTTATCCTTGAAGTGCATCAGTTTAAGTTGCCACACATCGAAGAATTACACAATATAGGGAAAGAGAAAAGTGATGATACTGCAAGAGACAAATATAAATGAGACAGGGAGAGTAATCAAATGGAGATTACGGTTCACACCTTACAAATCAATACAGGAAAGGAAGGAATAAGGGTGCACACTAAACTATCAATGTGCGAAATGACAAAACAGGTAAGCCTTAGGTATCCTAACTATAAATGCCATAAAACTAGGTGGGAGGATAGAATACGCATAAAACCTGGCGCATACTGAAAGACTAAATGGAAGTTTATCAAACGATTGCTTGCCACGTTACTTGTTTGACTGGGTAAACCAGTTAGGGTTATGTAGGTACCGCCTTCAATTTAAAATATTATTTACCTCTGATAAACCAATAAACCGACATAACGAGATGTAAAGAAGTGAATAAACCTGACAACAGACAGACATACAAACACACTAATATCACCTAAGATTGGCTTTCACTAATCTGTATGGATACTATTTATCTATGACTTCTACAATTAACACATGCTGCAACTGAAAAGGTTTGGAAATTCATACTTAACAAAAATAACTCAGAAATGATAAAAACACAATGCATGCTCATTATCGAATCGCGTTATGTTTAATTGTTTGTTTAAGTTAATTTTAATTATATTGGACTGAAATATTTGGCCTCTGTTGATATGCCGCCGCTTGGTACGGAAGTTCCAACGATTTTTCAGGATTAACATGATGCTATTTTGGTGGATGGTGACTGGTAGTAGAATCCAGGATGGGTATTCTGTCAGCTGGATATACCTGCAATCTCCAGTGTTCTCACTGAGACTCGAACCCACCACCAATCACTTGAAACGTCAATGCCCGCTCCGAGTCTCAGTGGGGACTACCATCATCACAGGTACACCCAGTTGATGGGCACCATGTAGGACGAAATGGGTATCCTGGATTCCACTGTTAATCACTATCCACCAGATAACATGCTTTCATAATAGGAAAGAAACCCTTGTAAGAGAGGAAGAAGAATAGTGAAACACAAGGCAGTAGGGAGAGAGAGGGGGGAGAAAAGGGAATAACAATATGAAAAAATAACTGAAAACATAACATAGAATGATGTTAGAAACAACTCGGTAAGAATAACAGTAACATGAAGGGAGATGACAACAATAACAATAATAATGTGCAGAAAAGGGAGAGATGTAAGCAGTAAAATAAATAAAAACTTGGTGTATTAAATAAATAAATAAATAAGGGTTAAGGAATTATCTCTTTCCATTTGCCCCCCTACCCCATCTTTTTAACAATACAAAACAGAACTGGAGGTCCATATGGAATTGCCATAGAAATCATCAAAAACAAAATTGAAAAAAATATTTTTTAACTGCCATATTACCGAAAGCAAAATAATAAAAGCAAACAGAAACAAGAGTAAGATTGATAGAATAGGCAGAAGAAGAAGAAGAAGAAAAAATGATGTACAGCATAGCAATCACATTCTGTGTTGGTGCATGAAATACTGACTTATATTTAAAGGGAATCTCAATGAAATATTTAACAAACAGCTGGTCAAGATCTGTCTAGTTCATCAACACGAAGGTTGGGGGGGGGAGGTAAGAAGCACGGGTAGTACGATAATGACATGACAAATTTATCAAGTTAACAAAGAGGGAAATATATGTTCAAAAGTTTCATACACATAATGTATAAAGAGTTTACCAGATTTATCCGAGATAAGGTATGCGAAATAGGAGAAATTTAACAATAGTAATAACAATAATAATAATAAAACAAATTTTTCAAAAGAAAAACTTATCAAAACAAGCGCAATCGGAACTTATTAGAGATGAGAATAACACGCTTGATACAACAATTCTATCCATCGGAAGGATACAGTTTGTTTAAAAATTAACTGAAATTTATATCACATACGACTTTTGATGGATGAAAAAAAGTCGTAAAATAGGATGGGAAAAAGTGTTAAATTAGACAGATATACAGAAAAACAAAAGAAAGACAAAATATGGGCAAAAAGAAATTCACTTGTACTCTTAAATTACACAAAATGTGGATTAACAATAAATAACAATACTAAGAATAATAGCGAGTAATTAGCAAAATAGTAAGTCTAGAGATAGAAAACCAAGGGATTCATAGACCTAACAAAAAGTCTGTGTTATACCAATCCCAGGAACTCGATTATTAATTTTGACTATTATTCATATTCTACCCTGACCGACTAACTGACTGGTTTCAGCGTAGAACTTTACACAGATGTGCAGCAGTTCCAACTGCCACACTCCATGTAGCACACAAAACAAGAGAAGAGAGTAAACAGAGATTCAAAAGAGAGATAATAAACCAAAGTGTGAGGCAAAAAGAACAGTAGAGTTTTATTGGATATGACACATTACAAAGAGTGAATGTATCTGCGCCAGCCATTGAGAACGATTTTGAGCCATATGCATCCTGAGACTACACTGTATAAAATCATGTATTTGGTCATTCATCATTAGTTACCTGGTTCTCACAGACTGCCAGTAGTCGCAATTTCCATGTTGATTCGACAGTCTTAGTCAGTCACACATTCTCGCATATATTTCACGAGAACGTGAAGACAGTATATTGCTATGATTAATTTGATGAGTAATATATCTTATATTCTCATCCTGACGTCATAATCTTAATTGCACTATTTGATGGGATATCTTTAGGTGCATTCAGTATACCAGTTGTTCGAAATGTGAGCATAAAATACAACAAATCTGAAGAGAAACAAATAACCAGTGGTGGATAAACCGAAGCACTTATTTGTCTCTTCCATAATAAAACTGACTATAACATACAAACAATACAAGACTGATCACTAATAGACTTCATTTAGAGAATCATTGAAAACCAAGCAGCGTTGGACAGCTGTTTTGTCCTAGTTCATAACTCCACTGTAGTATGCACTTGTGACCCCATCAGCGGTGGAATCCAAAACCTACGGGTTACGAGGTGGGCTTTCTGACCATTCAACCATTGGCACGGAATCCAATAGCCAATCAAATCAATTCTGACTTCTGCCGACCGTCAGTCAATGTCACTGGTGAGTATTGGTCCTCACAACCAACTTGGTGGACATCACGCTGGTTATGACTCCCCTACTAGGACTTCAAGCAACTTCATTCGGTCGCCAGTCACTAGTGAGCACTAGACTAATCTTCAAGTGTTAATTGGCAGGGATTTGACTGAAAGGTTGTCCAATTGAAATCAGTTCGTGGTCCATTTTGAAATCAATCAAATCCCTGCAAACCAACACTTGAAAATACTAAAATTAACTGGAAAAGATTGGAAAAATTTCTGATAATTCAAGTGTGAAAAGAGACGAAGCAATCTGCCTCTCTCTATGAAATGATTCACTTTCATTTAACTTACTCATATATAGACAAATCTATTTTTAGAAAAGCGTATACACATTAAGTTGTCTGTTAAGCTGTGCATAATTCTTTTAACACAACTTTAACTTCACGTATTCATTACAAAATTTACACTGAAAAAAATTCTTACCTAGTGCATTTGAACAGTCAATATTTACATTACAATCCCTCTGTAATGGCCCTGTCAATGGAGCAGTCGGAGTGGAAGAATTATACCACAGATTACCAGGAGATGTATCAATACCACTGGCTAAATCATGACTGAATCCATAATAATTAGCAGCCAATGGATCAAGCTAAATATAAAATAATTTTTACGGGATTATATATAATACAGTGAAATAATATTTCACAAATCTTTAGAGACAAAAAAGGTTATTAATAAAAGAATGAATTTATTCAACCTTTTGATAACAAACACTTAAGTATAAATGAAACACACTAGGACTCAACAATTTTCAAACTCACAAAACTCAAAAGTGTCAACTTTTTGTTTCTTCTACATAACCAAAAAGAATGTTGTTCTTTACGCAGAAGACTTAAGTTGATACCAAGTAGAAATACTCGTTATACCAAAATATCGAACATACTACAACCTTACTTTTATAAGTTTTAACTAAAGGTTCCACAAGTATTATATTATTAGGAAAAGTCCTGAACATTTGCAAAATATTTTAATTTACGAAAAGCAAGGAAGAAAGACATAATTCATATTCAAGGGAAATGGGGTTAGCAACAACAAGAAATTCGGTTCCCTTTTACACTGAGAGTTTTGTATTACTAATAACATATTTTAAATTGATTTTCTTTTCTTGATTGGAACAATTACTGAATAACATCAAAACAGTAAAGGGAAAGCTGGGATTTTTCCTAATGAATAACTAATAATCACCTACTCCGATGGAATTTATTTTATTTTTTTATTTTGATTTACAGCTTGATTCCACACCGTATTTTCAGTACAAGTATGGAATTTTCAGCATGGATATCGGTAGCCCAAATTCAGGCCGACCATAGATATCGGGTGTGCGCCGACAGGGGATGGAAGATTGGCTTCAATAGATAACCAATGACTACTGGTTTCACAAACTTAGAAAAGTTTAGATTTCCTAACTGACTTCTACTGGATACAGAAAACCTGCAGCTATGGATCTTAGGCAATACTTAAATAACTACCCGTGTGCATATAAGATTTGAAAACCCGAAAGCTGAACAGTAACTTTACATCTGGCCAGGCAGTCAGTGCCTATATAATAAGAATTCTAAAACAGCACTCAATTTCAATTGTTGTAACATCAAATTACAGGTTGATTACTAGTGTCTTACAACACCACTGTAAATTCCTTATATGCATATATATATGCACATCGAATGTGCGAAAATGCATCTGTCATTAGCATAATCGGTGACAATAACGACACTTAATGAAAAGAACAAATCCTTATTCGAAGTAAAGAAAAAACAGAACACAAGTTGGATAGATACGGAACTGCATACATTAGTTCGAGGCTATGGCCAGCTGTATTTTAAAGTTACAGAGGTTGTAGTGCTGCTTAGTCATTGGAAGTTTGAACAATCGCATCACTGACTTGATGCCTACAGTACAAACTGTACACGACTTATGCACTGAATTATTGTCTTTCTATCAAAAAAACGCTGGAGGTACACTAGAACAGACAAAAGCTTGTAACCCTAGCGACAAAATACGCTGATAATTCATGTGATAATGAGAACTGAGCATCTTTTTGTATTAAATAGGCATTCTAACATGGAATCGTAATGTAATAAAACCCTTAGAATAGTAATAAACATATTCAAACCACTATGTCACTTAAAAACCAAAGAAATATTTATTTATTTATTATGTGTAAAAACAATCAAACTCACAGACTGGGTTTCTGAATTCATATCTGAAAAATAAACAAAGAAGCAAAATGTAATGCATTTAAAATACAGATAAACTAGCTAAATTAATATTATGAATATGAACACAATGACACGAGTGCTTTCTAATTATTGCTGTCAAGAAAAGCTAAGAAAACTCCCGTTGCTATTACTTCAAAAGTGAAGTTCATTTAAACAAGGACATTTCAGCGTCATAAAACTGTAATTCATCGCAAAAAATCTCGATGCAGAAATCTTTTACTGATAAGGGAAATATTACAATATATGCTGGAGTTTAGCGATTGGAAAATATCATCCTAGTGTTTCTATACATAGATGTACAATTTCAGTTCTAACTAAAGCAGCTACAGGAGACCTGGCTATTGAGAGCAGAAGACATGAAAAGATTAGCTGTCTTCGATCATAGGTGTCTGCATTCTATCTCCCGTTTGAAGTGGTATAATAAGGTGAGCAATATTGAGGTTAGGCACCGAGTGCTAGGTAAGGAGGGGAAATCAGTCGACGAGACTGTGAACTTACATCGACTGAGATGGTTAGGACATGTGTTACGTATGCCTAGCCATCGTCTTCCTCGATGGGCAATGTTAGCTGGCTGACATAGGGTCAGGCTGGAAAAGAGCTAGAGGTGGTCAAACCAAAACATGGCACCAGTCAATGAAATCTACAACAGTTAGTTTAAGCCACGTAGGAAGATGTAGACTTCCTGGTTGGGTTCCTTGGGACGGAAAAAACCAATGGTTGGAAACAATTGGTGACATGGCTCAAAATCGTTCTCAGTGGCGCAGATGCATCCACTCCTTGTGACTTATGATTTCCAATTAAACTATTTTGTTCCTCGTTATTTCTATTCCTTTGTCTCACACCTCTGTTTACTGTCTCTAATATACATTTCTCCTACCTTCTTCTGTTGCTTTGTGTGCTACAAGAAGGGAGTGTGGCGACTTGAACTGCCGCACATATGTGCAAAGTTCTATGTCGAAAACCGACCGACCGACCCGAAGGAAGCTACAGTGAACTGAAATCCATAACATTTTTAATCTAAACCTGAATCACCGTCCCCAAGACATTAATCAGCGACTATGAGTAGCAAACAATGTGTTTGACAGGCAGTCACTGCAAGCATATGCTAACAGTAGATTGAATGCTATATTTTCATTCGTTTACCAAGTCACTTTAAATAGAGCATACATGCTGAGACGAATTTGTCCTTTGAATACTGATTGACGATAGATACCTGACTATTGGGTAACGGATATCGAACGTTGCTAAACGTACAGAGGTCTGCAAAACCAACCAAAATTACCTTCTGAAACCTAGTGTACAAAGCTACATTTTTAACTTTATCTTGAAATTTATTGAATACAACTTCGTATACTATGACAGCAATTCTATGAGCTGTCGGTATCCAGGAAACTTCATCGACTCTGAGAATTACAGTCGTTCAACAGGCCATATGATTGAAGTAAAGATTAGTAACCCGGAAAAAAACCAAATAGATATCAAACAATGTTTTTCGGAGAGGAACTTTCGTGCACAAAGTTACAGACAAATACATACACACCAGAAGGTTGAATAATATCGCTCACTATACTACAACAACTTGGTTTCATAGTTTAGCTTGAGAACCTCAGAGAAGTTTCTGAGTTGCACTACTATATATGTCCACAAATGAAAGACTGACTTCAGAATCTCTATAAGATCAACTTTTTACAGATGAAAATGTTAATTATTTGTAACCATTCACTTGAATATTGCCTACAAGTCTGCAAGTGCGATTTGTTCATAGATCAAATCCAATAGTTATTACAACTAACGAAATCACTTAAATTTAAAAACTACATATTAGTTTATTATGCAAGTCAGCAAACTACTATACGGTTGTATACAAGGCCATGAACTGCATATGATGTGTGAGAGTTTATGATGTCCAGTTGCCGATGCCGAAGTGGGTCAGGGTTTGATTCCAAGACCCATTGTACCGAGTTTGAGCGCTTACGCGCATGGGAAACACTGTACACACAAGTTCACTCACTGAATTAAGAAGCATAACCGCTGTCAGAGATAAGGACACCAACTTCGAAAGAGGTTAAGGTTTTCATAACTACTAATAAGTATATACTAATAAGATAGTTGCCATCAATAAAGTATATACGACCAAACCTATTCTTACAAACGTACACCAAAAAAGTACGGATATTTATTATCCAAGACGAAACTCTTCAACTTAATTCTACATTCAAAAGGATGCATCAACAAACACTAACGCGAAAAGATGAAACACCAAAGAATAATTGACAAACTGTTATTTCCCTGAATTTAAATTATACAGCAGAACAAAAGGTCACCAGACAATAAGCCTATGCGTGTTCGCTTTGAAAAAGAAGTTTAATCTAAGAATGTGGGTCACAAACAACGAAACCTAATACACAAGAAGTAGTTTAAAACACTTTATAACATTTAGTTTATCTAAACGGGTGTGAAGGGAATGATAATTAACCATATATGAAGCTAAGCAGCACTTAGCTATAGTAAATTTAAATGAACCGAACGATTACCAAGCATAAGAATTAGGGATAAAAACATACCTGATAAAAATGTTCCAGGTTGAGAGTCAGCATTGAATGTATTAGACAAAGGGAAGAGTGGTTGAGATGAATTAAGCTGAGAAGTTAATATAACACTGGAACTAGATTGTACAGGCAAAGTCTGATGTAAATGGTTGAAAGGTAATGCAGATGTTGGAAATCTGGTTGTGGAGTTGTGTGATAATGGTTGAAGCCATTGGCTGGAGGTTGAGTGCATCATACTTGTAAAAGCATCACCGACTTTTTAAAACTTAACCTGAAATGAATAAAGTTCACAAAAAAATTGATGAATAAATTTAAAGGTGAATAATGGTTGCTAAAGATTCAAAGTTCACACCACCTCCCACACACGAAACAATTCACAAATAACAGTGGGAAAGACATCAATCCTGAAATAATGGAGAAGAATTGTAGATCAGGTTTATGTTTTTGACGTTCTTCGAACAATGGAACCCAGCGGCAGCAAACGCGCCGATTTTAAGTGTTATGTCTGGATTATAAGCTTGACTTATGAAATCCCAGCTGAAATATGAGTGACAAATGATTGCTTTTCACAGATGTTAATCAGTGATTACCTGGATTTTAAAGAAGGGGAAAGAATTCTTCTGGGATAACCACAGATGAATCAGTCTGCATAACAAAACATCTGAAATATTAAGGCTCTTAATCATATAATGCCCAGCCAGGTTTTAGGACCGACTGATGAATCAACATATTACTTTGCATAGAAGAGTACAAATTCAAGTTTCAACAATTCGAATACAAAATAAGAAAACAAGAACATTACGATACTATAAAAGGCAAACATGTGTTGAACAGAATAAACTTTTTCACAAAAACTATAAGATGACTGGGTAAAGCAGTCTGGTTTCAGACTTCGCTAACAGTGTATCGACAGGATACTATATCTGATCCTGTAACATATATATACAAGCCACATCTCTCGACTCCATGACAGCTTTTAAAGTCACTAGTTGATACGTCTTAGGGTTGTTTCGCTAACTGTAGGGGTGACCAGCAAATACATATCTTTACTCAGGACATTCACTTTAACGAAGCAATAATGATTGCGTTAGTCCATTATAACCATCCTGTGGTATCTATCAAAAGTCTATTTTATCCAATTGTATGATAGATGTGTTTACGTGGATTCCTATCTCACTGAACAAATTCGTACTCATTGGTGTCTAAAGATAATGCACAATAAACAGGTAACATTGCTATTGGGTGAAGGAATTAAAAAAGTCCGATCTCCTGAACACTTTCAGTGTTTGAAATAGATCTCCCACCTTTCAAAAGCAAATTTTTGATCCACAACTATCGAGTATCAATATCTCAACTGACTTTAACGAGTAAACTAGCCAAATATATATACCACTTGACTTGTTTCAGAAGTCTCATCAGCCCTAATAACTTGACCGATGAGACATCGACACGGATAAAAGAAGCTAATTGGGTTTTCAACAAAATCGTGTAATATGGTTCAGGCAAGGTATTTAATTGTTCAATAAAAGATCAAGTACAATGTATACAGGTAAATTATAATATTCTGTTTATAAATTGGATCACTAAAGGTATAGAATTTGAAAAGCTTTAACTTTCGCCAACACTGTATTGACACCATTTCCGAGACCAGCTTAAACCACTAAAAGGTCGACGCAGTATTTACGCACAGTCATTTAAATCTAATAAGGTAGTTGAAGAAGCTATAAACATCTGTCAACAGAAATCGCCAGGACATGGGTTACTCATGAATACCAACCGCCTAGTTAGTAATTAATGAGATTCAATTGGCTGGTACTGGGCTACGAGATACGCTTATTGCTTAAGGGTCTATGGTACCAAGCAGCTGCCCTCGTTAAAGTAGGTGGAGCAAGACGTGAACCAGAGACCTACTGGGAGACAGTTGAGTGCTTAATTTAATGGGCCACATATCTACTCCCACTGTTTACTTATACACCCTGTTAGAGGTAGTAGGATTAAAATGGTCCAACACATGATAGTGATCTATCAAATCACTAAGTACTGTTATGCACCATGCAGCAGAACACAGATCTTGCAGATAACATCAGGTGACTGCTGAGACCTATGATTAGAGACACTAAATAATACAACTCTAACAGACTATAGTGGCACATATTTGTTCATATCTTACCTTCAAACTAAAAATGTGACTTCACTTGTTTCATTTTTAGCTGTGTTATAACACCTTAGGATCTTCGATTGTGTCATTTTAAGTTACCTACTAGGCAGTTAGCAGATAACTTCATTATGGATTTTTGATAAATCACACAGTGTTGTACAGTAATATTAACTGATGACGTTTCGAGCATAAACTATTGCTAATAATCATATCAATCATTTATCAAAATAAAAGTCTTATCCATAATGGAGTTATGCTCTACCACAGTGCCCAAGTTTTATACTTACATCAGTTGGCAGATAGACTGAAACCGGAGACACTAACCAGTAACGTCAGATCCTACACTGGTAATGTCTGACATCTTTAAAAGTAAACATATCCTGATATAACGGTACTAAATCTACCAACCAAATTTCAAATTTCTGAAAGCTAAATACACATGCCACAGACTAGGAGTCGAAACCTTTTACTCATATACCTACAAACCAACAAAAAACTGCATGTATATGTATCAGTTTAAGTTGTCATAATTTTAAACAGCATACATAAGGTAGGACAGAGACACAAAGACGTTGCAATAGACGAGTAATTATGTAATAATTCAGCAAAGGTTTTCGAATTCTAGTAATGGGTTTGTGTACACTTTGAGTCATCTTATCAAGCACCTCCACTGATTCGAAGGATTCTAGTCAAGGAAGATGCACTATTCTACGTGATTCAGGTAAGTAATCCGAGACACCAAGAATTGATATGTTTTGCTCCAACTACTCCAAATCTCCACACGATTATTGTCTCAGTTTATATTGCCAGTCGAAAAAGTCGGCAGCTCAGCAAGCTTAAAACAAGTCCCAACTATCTCAGTCGGTGAAGACTCCTCAGCCTTCAGCTAGATTGCTTTTATTACTAACTGCTTTACAGAAACTGATTTTACTCATTATAATTGGCTAAACAAAAGTATATTAAGGAAACCTATATATTCACTAATTATTCAATGAAAAACCTGAGACAATATACATATGATTTTATAAGTTACCAAAGCATTACAGCGAAACTCCTCTTACATCCAATCCGCCATCACACAACATTCTTCATAAACAATCAGCCTGCCTAGTTGTAATTTCTGCCTGATTTACTCACCTAAAGTAGGGCTAGTGATGATTGATTACGGGGATGAAGGATGAAATCATTGGTAGGTGACGTTAACGCTGTAATTTTGTAGTTATTCAGGTATAAAATACGGAAAATTTGGAATTTTCTGATGAGAAAGGAATACTGAAAAAGTTTGGACAGCCGATGATGACATGCGATTCACATAACTAGTGCTTTGTTTGTGATTTGTGGGTTTACCATTGCCGTCTATTGGCAGAATTTCAGAGAAAAGTCATCATTGAGACCATATCAAATGTTTTCAAACACACCAGTAAAAGTCAAAGTGAAAAGGATTCCTAGAAAGACAGCTTGATTTTACTTTGCCTGCGAATGGCTTATCGGTATTCATGGAACATGTAAAAAGCTACTTAAAAGGTGGATCAAAACACACTACTCTCAGCTGACATTCTAACTTCAACTCAATATTCGGGCAGTCCGCCGAAGACTAGACTACAACCAAAGTAGTGTCAGCCAGTGAAGTGACTCACCACGATAGACTTCATTCATGCATATATATATATATATATATATATATATATATATATATATTGTATACTGGTCAGTGCACTGAAGAATAGCCAACTTTGCAGACACCCGAATAAACTCAGTCAAATTTATTGTAGGACGTTATCTGCTGCAATTCTACCGTGTGGTTCTTCGGCAAGGCATTCAAACTATTATACTGCATAGTAGCGATGCGGTCAAATTTTAGTTTTACAAGAATCCGTATTTGAAGTTAAAAGAGAAACATCTAACTTCCCCACTAACACACACTATGAACGCTACCTCTGACGGAAATATAATGATATCTTCGAAACTAACACTAGAAAGCTTCTCATCCCATTTTGACGTGGAGGTGGGTATAGGGAATATATGTACTCTAACGTAAAATGGCGTATAATGTGCAGCACTATCTACACTGCAGGCAGACGTTTTAACAACAAGCTAGGCTAACATGGGCACAAAATACAATCCAAGATGCGGATATAACCCATAAATATGACATAATGGTTGCACAGAATCAAATCAGTCATAGAAACCTGAATGTGAATGTTCATTAGTGTCAGTTAAAAATTCATATTTATAACCAGACTGTGGTTTCTTTCTATTTCCCCTGGAGAGTATAATGAAGACTCACTCAACGATACTTGGAAGTGAAATTTTAGAGCCTTAACCATAGCGAAACAACGCTACAGGTGGGAAAACTTACAATATACATGCAAATTTGAAACACAGTCGGGCCCGCCTTTGTTCGAAACTGTTTACAAATAGCAGCTGCTAAGTATTCAATGTCCACGAAGAATGTTTCTGCTGCAGATTAATCATTTACCCAGATAAAATAATTAATGTGGTCACTAATGAATTAGAGTTTCAACTTACGCATTTTAGCACTACTATGGTTTTAATAAACAAGCATTACATCAACGAATTGCTACAAGTGTAGATGGCCTCATTACCCATCCTTTACTCACTCAATGAGTTTTAACCTGGTAAGCTTTCCGGCCCTATCCTGGACTGTCCAATGTGAAGCTGTCATCGTCATTTAAAGCCTCTTCAGTTGGTGGTCATAATCGGATGATGTGGTTTGTGTCCGAATTGATCTACCTGTTGACGAATCTATGTTAACTTGGACAGAGTAATGCTGCATGCATTTTATAAGTTCCAAATCGCTGCTTAGTAAGCAACAAACTGAATTATTTCTGCCTTCAAAGTACTACGATTTGTTCCTGAAGCTGAAGTTCACGTTTTCTTTCATTACCTCAAAGCTTTATAGTTGATGGAACAACTTACTTATGTGATAATTACTGTGTTCCAAACAGTATTTTTAGTGCACTATGTATTCTCATATCTTCATTTCCTACATGTTTACATAAGTTATTTCGCATAACATTGGAGCAGTTAATTTAGAAATACTGCGATTTCCTATGTCTGGTTCTGTGATGGCTGAAAATACATAGATACTAAATGAACGCGAATGGAAGTCCCGGCTTCAAAGCTCGTTGTCCAAATACAGACAATGAAGTTTCCTTGGTTGAAGGATTTCATCATGAGCTGACATCATTTAGAGAACCACTCGAAAACCTGTGAATACTGGGCATCTGTTTTGTCCTAGTTTGGGACTCTTCACGGTGCTCACCCACTGAGGTTTAAACCCAGGACCGTTTGGTCGCAAGGCGAGCTCGTAGAGTTCTCTAACTTATGTCAGCTCATGACGAAATCCTCCAACCAATTAAACAAAATCCCCACAAAAACCAGTACTTGACAATCAGGTTTCTTATGCAGATATAATCGCTCTCTACTGGGCTTGTTAGCGTATTTTATATTAGAAAGTAGGAAAGGACCGAATTTAGGAATTTGTAGAGCTTTGCTAAGCACGTGCACCTAAAAACAATGACAACCCAGCCCAGCAGCGATCTCTGAAAAATGATTCCTCAATAACACCATGTGTCGTACTATAATACGGTTTAATTTATGCAGCAGGATGAATATTTCCAAATGTCCCTTCTAAACCAACTGCATGCAGTACTGATAGTTCTTCGAGTATTCCCACCAAATTTTAATGATTGTACCATTATTCTGACATTCGCCTGGCTTATTTTAACTTGATCGTTGCATTTCGTCAGGGTCTTCCTTCGCTTATCTTCCCTTATGCTTCACTTTGCTATTGTGTGATGCTAAACTGTCCTCAATCATTTCAGGTTACACGGCTGTCAATATTCTATTTGCGTGAACCCAAGGCTGCGCCGTGCGTCACTTATCGACTGGCTGCTGGAAACAGTCTCCATACCATCTGATTCTTGCAAATAGGATTTCGATTCCATTTTCTGGTAATTTTCTCGTCGACTCTCATGTATGTGACAATTGCGTTTGATTAACTATGTTTTGCTATGTGATACGTATTTCGCTGGAGAGAAATCTATGAACTGCATGGTTACCAGCCAGCAATTTTGGAGTATTTCAGTATTTTTGACATGAACTACTTTTGTTTAACGGTGTCACAGATTCCACCACTTTGGATCTTGCTTTGATATTGTTCTTGCTTAATCTTTTGTGCGGCAGAATGCTTGCCAACCACGCATGGAGTCAGGAGTTCAGTCGCCGACCGACGCGCTTCTTTACCTCACTAAGCCAGTACTAAGACAAGTAAAGAGGGAAGACTGGACATGAGGCTAACAACTCAATTTTTTGTTGCGTTTACCTCAGGGGAGTTAGATAAACTAGACCTAGTAGCATAGTAAGTCACGTGGATCCACTTAACTTAGTTTCTTAATACGTTTCTCGAGTTCAGGCCCAAGTATTTTGATTTTAGCAGTTAAAGAACTCAACATACCAGAACGTTATGCCCAGCTTGCCCATAGGGAGGTTGTTATGGACAAGAAGAATTCGAATTAAATAGACGAGCTTCCAGATGCGCAGCAAATCCATATCAAATCAACATAACTTGGCTCTAATGCAATTTTGCTCAATCACCATACGCAGACTAGCTACGGGATGGCGCAGCTGAACTGGTGGAACGTCGTTTGAAGGAGAGACGAAAGTAAAAGCAGCAGCCAATATCAGTGACTACACATGAGCCAACATTTTTTTGCTTAGAAGCACCTACTTGTGATGCTGAATCAGGGTGTAAATATAATCATCAACAGATTCACATTAAACCATCCAGTCCAGGCAGTCCGTTAGGGTATTACTGAAGAATGCTTTCTCTCTTCTATCGAGTAATAAATAAAATGCAACAAAATGCTCAGTAGCTCAATTACTCACTAATATTAGAAAAGCTTCCTAAAAGGTTCCACATCATAAAATTTTAATGAAACCTTATTCTTACTCAATAAATGCAAAGCATTACACTTAGATGATTCCTTCGCTGAAGTACAAGGTGGTATTCTTGGTTCGGTCTTGTTCGTGTTATTTGCACGTGACATATGTTCCATGATAATTCTTTGGCAGTCTAGGTTACTGGAGTGAATAGCGGCGACTGGTTTTCATCCAAGACAAGGGTGGTGTAGATAATCTTGAATGTTAGAGACTTTGTAAACGACTAAATGTGTGTGTCCACCCCGTCTCAGACCTGAACATGGCCACATGTCTAGAAATCTACCCTCTTCTTACGAGGCGGCTATGAAAGTGCCCAACCATAAAAGATATGTCAACTTCTTTCGGCGCATTTCTCACACCTCAAGAGCTAGGGTGGCTATATACAATACACGTGGCGTGAGGATATACGTTATAGCGTCTTAAACCTTCCGCGCTTAAGGGTTTTCTCGGTTTTGATTGGCTAGAACGGTTGCGGTTAGTTTGATATTTAATTTGTCCTAGATAGGTGATATATCGTGTGCAGGTTTGTGTGGTTGCGTCATGCGTTGTCTGCAAGCGTGTTTGATGGATATAAATGTAAAGTTTGAGTATTCTAACGTTTTGTTTTACTTATTTTGTGCATGTAAAAGGCTTGGTTTAGCATACACTCAGTTTGTTGGCCCGTCAGTTGTTGGCGATGTCAAGGAACCCGTGAGTTCTTGGGCTTTTCTCAATTTTAGGTTATAGGCGTAGCATTTTATTGATGGATATTGCTCAGTGGTGTATTTCAATGTCGCTTTTTCTACGGAATTATATTTAAACAGTTGCGAGATAGATGGATACTTATTGACAAAGCCATTTTTGTTGATTGCAGGTAGGCAATGCGAGTGAAAGTACTGCAGACGTCAGTGGAATTTTCGGTGAAGTAATGCTGGGAAGGCGTTTCTTTAGCTGGGAGGAATTTGAGAATTCATTAGGAGAATTTCAAAAAGTGAGGAAGTCATTTAATGCTAACAATGTAGTTGTCCTGCACTCACTATGTGGTTGCCCCAGATTACGCGGGAGAAGTAATCGCACAAATGGACCGTTTTCTTAATATGCAAATCAACTACTTTCGTATTGCAATAAAAATAAACTTTACCTATTAACATAGTTGTCTTTCTTTTCGTGTGTTCGCGTTGGGAGCACGGTATGCTAGACCGGTGCTCCCTAGGATATGAATTTGTTACTATACGTAAGTGCAATTCTGTAGGAACACTATCCATCGATATAAGTGGTGAATTATAAGTACTTCAGTCAAGTCTAAAAATCTGCCTAAAGTTACGCGATTACGTCTCCTAGTCATAGGTGAATATGTAGGGACTAATGACAAAAATACCTAACTTCAGTGTTTGAAAAATAAGAATAGAACTTAGGCCCTGCAGTTGAGTTCGGTATCGTATGAAGTTAAGTGTAATCAAAAGTAGTGTATTACGATTATTTCACTTAAAGCGTGATGTCAATCCATATGACTATGGGTGTTAACATTTAGTGAAAATGAAGTCTACATGAGGCGAATAATTTAATAGGTTGAGCTGCAGCAATGTTAGTAAGATTTCGCCTACGTTGAATTATGCCTACAATTACTTTCCCAGGTCTCATTGGTAGGTCACGCCTCCATCTCGTCATAATGACAAATTTAGTTTCACTGAGATAGAATAAGAAAAGTGTGGTGAGCAGGATGTTAAATATATTTCATGAAAAATAATAAGCGAATGTCTTTACACAATCGTTTTTCGTAATCACTTCGGCGATGCGTAATTGCTGTGACCAGGCTGACTGACTTCACCGAACATCTGCAAGTAAGTGGATAAAGTGTAATTTTTAAATCGTTGAAGTTAGAAATAAGTAATGTAAAAGTTAAACGCTTTATATTTTCCTACCTTTGCTGAAAAAGGTTCATTCTCCTCTCCCATTCTTTGGTCATGACAGCAGCCTCCTGCGGTTTTCACTGTCACACACATTGTTCCTCTTCTAAAGTATAGCACCAAGCAAAATAATAATTTAATATGTCGTATAAACGGGTGTTTACAAGGAATGCATGACATTTCTGCAGGCGCAATAAGTTAGGTTATAAATTGCAATCGTGAAGTATCGTAAATTAAAACTTTTTGAAAAGTTTAGATCGTTGAATTATTGTACAAGCAATTACAACGGATTATCATAAAAGTTAAACTGCGGACCCTTCTCAATGAACACTGCATATATTTGGGTAAGTGCTATTTCCTCACATAATTAAAAGGTATTTCAGGAGGAGAACAGCATCCTGAGAAACTGCTGTGATATTTTCTAGCTGTTCGGAATTTTTCCTTTGATGCAGTTTCTTATCAACAGTTTGCAGTATTCATAGTGACTTTAGAGGAAACTTTATTCTATCTTCAGTTTCTCCAACTGTCCCTTCAAGTAAAATAGCACGCAGTAACTACATACAC